TCCATTGTAAATGTGGACAAGATGCAGACATACCTAAATCCTGATGGGAATGGCTTTGAAGATAGAGCAATGAGTGTGACCCTTTAGACCCTTAAGGAGCACGTGATTCCATTAGCCTTGGTCAGTCAGAGGCCCGTGAAACCAGGACAAGGAGGCAGACAATTTTTTAACGTTTAGAGTTTTTGTAGTGAGAAGTTGGTGTCCCCATCTACCATCTTCTATTTTCTCTGCAAAGCAGGAAGAAAAGTTAACTGCAAAGAGTCAATGAGGTGAAGGTGATAGCAGAGATGTAGAGAGCTAAACAAGCAACAGAAGTGAGGCCATGCAAATGATGTCCCCAATTCCAACAGTGAGTATACTTTGGCTCAGGATGTATCATGGATTAGAGATTATTTTGTCCAGGTCAACAGAGCCTAGCCAGAGTGATGTTCTGCTTTCTACAATTACCATACTTGCACCCTTCTACGTCACATAAAGTCACAGACCCTGTAGTAAATAGAACTTCCTTTCTCCACTTGTCTCCTCGGAGGGACCAAATGAATGAAACCCACTCTTGATCCAGAAGTCTTGGGAGAAGGATCAGAGGAGGATTCATCCCCAACCTTGGTGCAGAGGATTTTGGGGCGCTGCTTCTGTGCCCAGCCTTGGTCATTTAGAAACCCTTAGAGAGCCAACTCACAGCCTTTCCAGTAGCAAAAAGCCAAGTAACTGGAATGGTGGTCATTCCGGCCAAATCCTGGCCCCCAGAAGGTCGTGACAATTACATCCACCCTAAGTCACCCTGTCCTGGAAGCAAAGCCCCAGTGGCACAAGATCCAACTATGGAGCCAGAAGCTGAAGATTCAGAGGAAGAACAACGGCCAGCAGTTCTGTTCTCTTTTTGTTCACAACTTCCAAATAAAGAGACCCTTTTTCCTTCTCTAATGTCATTGTTGAGGGTTTAATTTCATGAAAGCCTACAGGGGGTCTCAGGAGAATTAAAGCGGGCTCCGTGTAAATTACTCAAGTGAACACAAAAGTCAATCGGCAACACACAGCGAAGAAGCTCAAAGGAGGCAGACAAGGGGGCCCACAGGCAGCCGGAGAGGTGCGGTAGCCTTGTGCAGGCCCTGAGTCTTAGTCTGGCTGTGCACCAGGCCTCCCTGAGGAGCTATTCAGTAGAAGGGCCTGGTCCCACCTGACCTCATCAATCAGAATCTCGGGGGGTAGGGCCCTTAGACTACACTGATACACTCCTGACCTTGAGAACCTGGGGTCAAGGCCTGACCACGCCCCGCAAACCAGAAACGCAGTGTCATTGATGACCAGACTTGACAGGCTCCAAGATGCTGACTCATAGCTCACAAGGACGATGAACAAAGCCCAAACGCCGGCTTACTCATTGCAAACGGTTGCGCTGCCTGACCAGCACATTCTCTCCCCATTGGCTAGCAAACACAGGAAGCCAATGCTTTCAGACATTGCTGGAGGAGCCAGTGGCATCAGGCTCTAGCGTGTTCTTGTTCACAACTGACAGAAGCCCATAAGACAGTCCAGACATTCCACAGGAAGGCATGCCTCTGGGCCGCCCCATTTTCTGTGCTCCTATTGGCTGCCAAGGCTCCCTTCTGATGGACATGGCCTTCATGTACATTCAGGAGTGATGTCTAAGCTTTCTGGGCCACTGCCCCTTGCAGGTGACTTTGTGTCTTTCTTCTGCTCCTTTTGGTGGGTTAATGTCTTAGTTGAGGACTCAAAGGGCCATTATATTCCCCTGACATCCAAATTCTTGGAGACATTTCACATTTCAAGTGTAGTGCTCTATCCCCATTTCACAGGTAAGGAACAGAGCCCCTGGGTAGGTGCCAGTTCCAGAGCCAAATGGCTTCCTCCTAAGAAAGGCTGAGGTCTGAGCTAAGCAGGTAGTGGTGGAGTTGGAAAAGCAGTAAGAGGCTGGATCACATCAAAGAGAGGGAGGATGACGGCTTCCAGCTTGGAAACTGGGTCGGTGGAGTGATACTGACAAGACTGGGATGGTAGGAAAGTGTGCAGGCGGTTGGTGAGTGGTGAGGAAGGCTGTGCTGCCCCTCAATCAACCGGACAATCAGCACATTCACTGAGGACCATGCTGGGAGCCGCTAGCGGGGTGTGGAAGGGGACAAATGATGTGTGCCTGTTCTGACAAAGCTTTTAGAGCACAACGGGCCTATGATTAACCCTGTCAGTTTATGACTGTTGTGTACCTGTTTCTGGTGAGAACTCATCTGGGCTGTGCTGATAGGACAAGAAAGAGCTCACAGCTGACTATGGCAGTCTCTCTGTGGCTCAGGCATCCCTGTGGAGGGACTCACCTTGCCAGCATCATGTCAACTATCATTCAAGACTCTGACTTGCAGCTTAAGCTGGCTTAATCCAGAAACAGAATGGAAGATTTCATATAGTAGAAAAGTCTCCATGTAGGTCTTCCAGCTTCAGGTCTGGCTGGATCCAGAGGCTCAGACCCCATCCTCTGGACCTGTTTTCTCTCTCTTACTCTTTGATCCTCTCTCTGGTACACTTCTTAGCTTTGTTTTCCCTCTGTACTATACTCGCTCTCAGCACACTCTCCCCACTTGCACTCCAGAAACTCCAGCTTGACAGCAAGTCCAGAAAGAGAGTTCTTTCCTCTGTACAACCCCACAGTAGACCCAGAATGGACTTTGCCCATAGACCAATCCCTGAACCAATTACTGTGGCCAAGGGAAATCCGATGCACTGATTTGCCAGGCCTGGGTCCACTTCCACCCTGGAGTTAATCCACCCAATGCACCTGGACTCAGAGTGGGGCTAGAGTAAATTCCCGAGGAAAAAGGTGTTCTGATGCCAGAAAAGGGAGGTGAATGTTGGGCAGGCAATGGATGCCTACTATTGTAACAAGCAAAGAGCCCTGTCTAGGTCCAAGGCGAGAGAGATGATAGTCAGAAACCCTCTGGGCCCAGGACCGCACCCTAGGAACCCACCTCCCTCTTTACAGTGAGGCTGCTCTGCTAGCACCTATAGGCTTCACCTCTCAGTAGAAAAGACCCCAAAGATTTTATGGGTGGAGTGTTTGTTAAGGGGGAAAACATGGAAAGCTGAAAGAGATGGGACAGGGCTTCTCCCAGCAGTCTTAGTCCCATTAAAAATTACAGCAAGAAGGAGCTGGTTTGCCAGAATAAGGTCAGTATCAGAAAGAGGCACAGGTGGGGGTCCTTTGGGGCAAAGGAGAAAGGAAGTTTCTGATAAAGCAGGTCTGTAGGGGAGGAAGAAGAATGATGACAAGGGGAAAGAAATGCCATGGAGGAAAACCAGAGAAATGGGGCTGGGTTATGGGTGCAGCCTTTTCAGAATAATGAAAACAGAAAACTTTCCGGGACCTCACTGCCTCACAGCAAGGAACCGCATGGCTCAGATTGCACACCTGGATTTTCCATCAATTCCCCCTTGGCTTGTGAATAGCAGACCACAGGATGGAGAATGAGATGAGAGCTAGGAAAAGCTAGGTTAGTGCTGGGGCAGCTCCACTTCCCATCTAGGGCCAGCATGGGCCCCTCCAGGAAGCCTGCCCTACACACACACTGTTCCCCAACCCTGGAGAACCTTCCTCTCCTCTCAGTTCCTAAGCCCTCCCCAGTTTCTCTACTACATCCACATTTCACAGAAAATGGTCTTACCTGCTCCACTGGGTCTTAGAAGACCAGTTCACAATACTGTGTAGTTCAGAACTAACTAGGGGTAAATGTTAAAAATACAGATCCTCGGGCCCATCCTTGGAAATTGCGATTTGACAAGGCTAGGGTGGGCCCCAGGCAACTGTATTCTCAACAGGCTCCTTGGGATCTGCTAATGTAGAGCCACGTCAGAGAACCACTGTCTTACCTGGATTGCTAAAGCTTAGAGGGAACTTCTCCTCTATGAAATGACAGCTGTCGACTAGAACCTGGGCCAGCACACTGTGTCCTGCAGGCCCAACCCAGCCTGCTACTTGTTTTTTTATCAATAAAGCTTTACTGGAACACAGCCACACCCATTCATTTACTTGTCTTCTGCCACTTCTTCCACAGTATCATGGCAGAAGTCATGTGGGCGAGAAAGAAAAAAATAATTTACTCTCCAACACTTTCCAGAGAAAGTTTGCCTCCTCCTGAATTAGAAGGTAATCTCTGAGGTCCAGAAATGTATCTCTCTCTTAGTCAGAGATTTGGAACCCAAAGAAACTGCTTTTTCCTCTTTTTGTCCAGTGGTCTCACTGCCGCCCTGTGGCTTGGGATGTGTGGAGGGCATTTGTTGTTTCCTCTACTCAGAATCCATCATTCTTCTGAAAACAACCTCTTAACCGTGGGGGAACTCCTGGCCCTCATTGGATAAGATCTCAATATAACTGTCAATCAAAACACCCCGCCCTCTCCTTGGGCATGGGACCCAAGCTGAGCCAATTCTATGTTCACTTACTGCAATTTAAATCTTGAGCTGAGAAAAGAGCCATTGACAGCCATTAGGTCTCCTTCCTTTCACCACGGAGCCGGAAGGGAGACCGCTTCCAGGTCCCTGCAGTTGCCCTGGTTATCTGTCCCTCGGACAGCCAATTTCTCAGCCTTTTCTGTGATTCTATGGGCAGCTCCATCTCCTCCTAAAATATTCCTTTTGATAGCAAATTAGACAGAATTGAAACCAGGTGTTTACACCCCAGAAAAGCCCAGCGGATGCCAAATGCAGGGATTGGATTAGGTCATGAGACATGGATCTGCCCATTTCACAGATGGACACACGGCCTCCAGGGAGGAAAAGAGGCAGTCAGGACAAGAATCCAGACCTCTGTCCTGTTCCCATAATTCCTCCTATCCCAATGTCACCCTTGATCATTCATAGTCAATAGCATTAGACAGCATCAATCCCAAAATACAGGCATCATTTTAGAAATTAATAAATACGTAAGGAGGAGCCCTCCTCACACAGAGAGCAGTGATGACAACTCTATAGAAAGAATGATTCCCAACGAGAGCTGTGTGTGTATGTCACATAATATCAGGAATTAAAAAGTGTCAAAAGATCAAGTGGGAGGAACATTAAATATGAATGGGATGAAAGACACATTTCTGTGCACGGAATAATGACTTTAATGAGTTTCCTCACCCAAGTCACGGCATCATAAAGTACAAAAGCTGGGAAAGGGATTGAGGAGGGGAACAGGGAGTGCAGGGGAGGCTTTGTGTGTGAAAGCGAGATGAGCAGGTAGGTAGGGGAGGAAAAACAAGAGCTGAAAGAACTGTCAGGGTGAGTTCTGGGCCCTGATGAAAGTCACCACATTCCCAGGAGGTGTCTATGGGCACAGAGCAGCAGGACCTCCGGCCCCAGGTCAGCTGACAGTCCCCAGAGCCCCACAGAGTCCCACTATGACTCAACCCTCGCCCCAGCCCACCTGGACAGAGGTAGTGTGGGTGTGGCAAAGCACCTCTGCTGACCTTGGCCACCCAGGGTAACCAGATGGTAGCCATGCTTGGAAGCGGTGGTTTCCTCGGTGGGGAGGAGGAGCTACACACATACTATGGTCAGAATGCCTGTGTCCCTCCCAAAATTCATGTCAGAATCGTAACCCCCAACGTAATAGTATGGTCAAGCGGGGCCTTTGGGAGGGGATTAGGTCATGGGGGTGCAGCCCTCATGAATGGAATTGGTGACCCTATTTAAAGAGGTCCCAGAGAGAACCCTGACCCCTTGCTGTGAGGCCACAGCAAGAAAAGGACCTCTATGAACAAGGAAGTGGGTCCTCACCAAACACTGAACCTGCAGGAGCCTTGGTCTTGGACTTCCAGACTCCAGAACTATGAGAAATAAATTTCTGTTGCTCATAAACTACCCAGGCTATGGTATTTTGCTGTAGCACCCTGTACAGACCGAGATAACACAGAAGGACATGACATAAGCTTTAAAGGCAGACAAACCCTGGCCACCAATCCTGGGGCTGTCACCTCCTGGCTGTGAGGCTCAGAGCAGACAATTTAACATTCCTTCAACTTGAGCTTCCTCGCCTGTGAGGTGGGATGCTGTATTTTCCTCACAGTGCTGTTGGAGGATTAAGTGAGAGGACACACAGAAGCCTGGTCATGAAGATGTCCAGTAACCATCAGTCCTCTTGCCCTCACCCTCCCTCAGGCCTTGCACTCAGTGGCCATCCAGGAAGTAGTTGTTTCCAATGTTATTCAGAGTCCACTATCTTGTGCCATATTCACAGTAGCTCAGGAGACCAGGAAAGCTTGAGTGTCTGTTCACACCGGCAACAGAAAGCCACAATGCAGGCTGGTGGTGAGGAAAGATGTCTACCTTTGTCCAGCCTCCCGCTGACCCAGGTGAAGCTGAAGTCAGTGCATGGTAGGCCCATGCAGAGCCAGCCCAGAGCCCAGAGTGTAACAACTTGGAACAGGTGCATTTCCATGACACCCTTCTGCTTCCACAGTCATTGTCATCTTCCTCCTGCGTAAGAAAACCCCCCAAAATGCCCAGTCAACATCCATTGACTTCTCAGCCTCCAGCACTCAGAAGCGAGGCCTGCAGCACTGCAGGCATGGCTGAGTTCCATGGAGCTGATCAGGCAGTCCACGAGAGGCAGAGACAAAAGTTCCTGCCTCATCTGCATCATCAGGCTGACATGCCAGGACAATTGTAACAGTAATAATGATAGAAAGGCTTAAATGGTACTAACTGTGAACCAAGAACTCTGCATATAATAACTTACTTAATCCTTACAGTAACTGTGCTAGATAGATATTGTTATGCCCATTTTATAGAAAAAGAAACTGAGGCACAGAAATGTTAAGTAACATACCCAAGGTCATATGGCTAGTAAGTGGCAGAGATGGATTCCAACCTGGGTCACCTCATTCTAAAGTTCATGCTTCTAACTCTGAAGAACTTCATGGAAATAAGCCTATCAGAAGAGGGAGCTGGTCAGAAGAAGGCTGGGAGGTAGTGGGTGGTAAGTACCATTTAGAAAGAAAGCAGAGTGTGAAGCCCAAGGAGCCTTTTGTTTGCCATCACAGATGCCACTCAGGAGAGGCAGCGCAGGGACTGGCGCTTTGGCAGATGACACAGTCCTAGAGCCTTTGCTACATATCAGGTTGTTCTTATTGTCCCCTATTTCTCTGCAATGACCAACAGCAAAGCAGTTAACAAGGAAGGCATGTGGCTTACCAAGGAACGAAGTCATGGGGCCACCATAACCTGTCTTGCAGCCCAGCTTGGTGGGGTGTTAGGGAGGGATGCCACAGATGTCCATACCCCACGCAGGAGCCAGGGCAGGTTCGGCTGGGGCACCAGGTAGACTTCAGAACTGGGGCAGGAGATCCACGTCAGATCTGGATTCCAGCTGTAATAATAATTTATTCGTATCATTGTAATTATTTGTTTCGCATCCCCCAATTGGCTCTGTGTGAGAAAGTGAGTGAAACTATGTCTGTCTTGTTCAGTTCACATCCCCAGCTGCTGGCTTAGAGCCTGGTGTACAGTAGGTACTCAATAAGTATGTATTACATCAATGAGCAAAGAAAATAAGTATAAGCCAGGGTTTCTCAACCACAGCACTATTGGCATCTGGGGCTGGATAATTCTTTGTTTTTAGAGGCCTGAACTGTGCACTGTAAGTTGTTTCAGCAGAGTCCCTGGCCTCTGCACGTTAGATGCCAGTAGGACTCCCTCCTCGACGTAAGAAGCAAAAATGTCCCCTGGGGGGCAAAACTGCCCCCAGCTGGGAATGACTAATATAAACCAATATCCTTGGCTAGTGCCACTAATTGAAAGAGAGAAGCCAAATTTAATCTGCATATGCAACAGACGGGAGGGAATCTGAGCCCTAAAAGCCAGGAGGGGCTGAGAGGAAGAAGGTGTGAAAGCCAGGGCAAGCCACTGAGCTCTCAGATGACTACCAAGTGCACCCTGCAGTTTGTCTCTTGGGTTGTAAGGCATGAGGGTGATTTGTGCTGACTTTAACATACAGAATAGGATAGGTGGGAATGAAGGGGGTGATGGCAGCATCCAGGAAAGAGAGGCGAACCCAAGACCAGACACGAAGGCAGGACAAAAACAGCCCCAGGCATGGGCCTGAGAACAGATTGGGCAGCAGAAATCCCTACGCATTTCCCGAACAAGGAATCTTTTGACAGGTGGCCTTGCAACAGCGACCCTCTCTTGTCTCTACTTTGAAGGCTGCCCTGTGCAACGTGGCCTCACACCCAGGAGGCCCTCAGATCAAGGTGGTCTTGGCAGATCCGCCAGGAAGGATTAGACCGTGACATTACAGCTACATGACGGCCTCGTTCTTATTACACATACACTCGCCCTGTCTAAGCTTGTGAACTCTGATTTGTTTATTTCTGAAAAACCATCTCCACCAAGACACCAAGCTGGGCTGCGAGAGATAGCACTGACTCAGCCATTTCCCCATCCTCAGCATAAAAGGATCTAAAAAGAATAATTTAAGCTTCTCTGGAGTGAGATCATTTAATGAATCTTCTCGATGCTAAGAGATTTTATATGCCTTTTTAAAAACCCTTCCCCAAGCACGGAGCTATGATATTACCTTGGAGAGCAGAGAGATGAAGTGATACACGTATGCACGGCACACAGGAGGAAGGAGGTGGTTTCCTTGGCAACAACATCCATGTTCTGGCTTCCCTCGGCTAAATTGGAATATATTGACATATCTGCTTTGGGCGCCTCTATTGCGAAGGGAAATGAGTGGTTTTCTATTCAGGCACTCTCAGAACTGCAGGCCGGCAGCTGGGGAGCGATGTTCTGTGAGTTCGATGCATCTGAATGGGGCAAGGCCGTTAGCAAGCTGGCAGAAGTCCCCAGCCTTCCTTTGCAAAACCAAACCATCATTTCCTCAGCCAAGAGAAAATGAAAGCAGCGAACACATGAGGTTCGACTGGCCGGACAGATAGGCTAGGACTCTGTCTCACACAGTCTTTCTATGGCCACTGCTCTGTAGCTTTCCAAACACACCCAGCTCGATAGATCAGACTCCAAAAGTCTACTCATGATGTGTTTAAAATGGAGAGTGGTTGTAAGAAAAACATAGACCTATTGAAAAAAGGTCCTCAAATCTGATGTGCTCAAAATCCTTGACAATAGGGAGGCAGCTATGCCCCCAAAGCACAGTGCCTGGCACCCAGGAGGATGTTAACATCGTGTTTGTGGAATTGGACTTGGACTCAGGCTGACCTCGGTTTTGGCCCTGGCTTCACTATTAACATTCCGCATGACGTTGCACATGTTCCATAAACCCTCTGGCCTCAGTTTCCTCCTCTCTAAAGCAGAGACGAGCATCCCTTCCTATAGAATTGTTGTGAAGATTAAATGGGGTGACCTGTAAAATGCCTGGCATGAAGGAGGCATTCCGTTATGGTTACTTTTCCCCACCAAGAAACAAGGAGCATTCTGCTTCTTTCAGATAGGTGAAATTTACAGAAAAGAACAGTGTCTTAGGGAGAGCAGGAACAACCTCACCCAAGGAGCCGAACTCTTTTCCATTTTTATTTACAGGGTGCTTTTGGAGAGCTGAGACAGCCTAGGTTGGGAAGTGTCTGGATTGGGAGGTCAGAAGGGTCAGCTCAGTCATAACCACAGAACCAGCCACAAGCTTCAGGGTAAATGGGACAAGGAGATAGCGAGGGGCTGAGGTCTCAGCAGGCCAGTGGCAGGTAGCACCGCAGAGACCAATGGCAGCATCAGCCATCAGCCTGGGACAAGGAGGGGATGCTGAAAGGGCAGGGAGGTGAGGTCTGCTGGGGAGGAGGACCAGCCCCACACATCAGGAACACAGTCTTTATAATCGGCTCTCTATTTAAAGACCCTCACAGAAGATTGTACACTATGTTTTCTTGCAATAGCTCATACCTGCCACTCCTAAGAAGGTCTTTCATAGGACTCAGTTAGAATAGTTGCTTCAATGTAAACACATCAGGACCAAGGATTTCCCATTAGAAGCATAGACTTTAGAACTAATTCCTAGACTGTCATTCTTTCTAAAAAGCCTTATGAATACAAAACAGCATTTCAGTTGTATTTCTAACATTTATTTGTGTGCCTTTGGGGGAAAAAAGTCTTTTCTAAGCCTTGTACTTGTGCTCTACACAATGACTGTCCTTCCTAAAGTCATAGGACAGCAGTGAGAGTAAAATTAAAAGGCAGGCAGCATAGTGAGTGGGAACACACCATCTGTGTCTTTATATCATATGCATTTATCTCTTCTGAGCATCTGTGAAAGAGAGGTTTGCTACTTAGCTGAAGAATGTACAAGCTCAGGCCCTTTCCCCCTGGGAAGGTAAAAAATAAATAAATAAATAAATAAATAAACAAAAAACACAATAATAATTCAAAAGATCCTCTAGAAAAATAAACTTCTACTGCTCACTTTCTGAAAAAAGAACATCACTAAAGGGATATTTGTTCTGCAAACTTTAAAATGCATTCTAAAGCTACAATAATTAAAACAGTGTGGTACCAGCAAAAAAAAAAATTAGCAGAGGGAACAGTGAGGCAGACTCAATACATAATATGTTTAAACTTTAATACACTTTTAAGATAGAATTTCATGTCATTATGGGAAATATGGACTATTCAGTGAATTATGGCTTGAGGATAACTGACCAACCCACTAGGGAGCAACTTTAAACTCTATCCCTACCTTACACCACACTTTTTTTTTTTTTTTTTGAGACAGAATCTCACTCTGTCGTCCAGGCTGGAGTACAGTGGCGCAATCTCGGCTCACCACAAGCTCCACCTCCCAGGTTCACGCCATTCTCCTGCCTCAGCCTCCCAAGTAGCTGGGAGTACAGGCACCCACCACCACACCCGACTAATTTTTTGTATTTTTAGTAGAGACGGGATTTCACCATGTTAGCCAGGATGGTCTTGATCTCCTGACCTGTGATCCGCCTGCCTCAGCCTCCCAAAGTGCTGGGATTACAGGCGTGAGCCACTGGGCCTGGCCCCTCCCACTTTTTTTTTTTTTTTTTTTTTTTTGAGACAGAGTTTCACTCTGTTGCCCAGGCTGGAGTGCAGTGGCACGATCTTGACTCACTGCAAGCTCCACCTTCCAGGTTTATGCCATTCCCCAGCCTCAGCCTCCCAAGTAGCTGGAACTACAGGCACCTGCCACCATGCCCCGCTAATTTTTTTTGTATTTTTAGTAGAGACGGGGTTTCACTGTGTTAGCCAGGATGGTCTTGATCTCCTGACCTTGTGATCCACCCGCCTTGGCCTCCCAAGGTGCTGGGATTACTGGCATGAGCCACCACACCCAGCCCACACCACACTTCAAAATAAATTCCAGGCCAGGCACAGTGGCTCACACCTGTAATTCCAACACTTTGGGAGGCCAACAGAAGAGGATTACCTGTGGCCAGGAGTTCAAGACCAGCCTGGGCAACAAAGCAAGATCCTGTCTGTAGAAAAAATTTAAAATGTACCCAGGTATGGTGGCACAGGCCTGTAGTCCCAATTACTGGGGAGGCTGAAGTGGGAGGACCACCTGAGCCCAGAAGTTTGAGGCTGCAGTAAGCTGCAATTGTGCCACAGTACTCCAGCCTGGGCAACAGAGCAAGACCTCATCTCAAAAATATAAAATAAAATAAAATTCCAGATAGGTTAAATATTTTAAAAATAGAATATTAAAAGGAAATATGAAGTAAGATTCACATTATCTTCTAGTTGTATGCCAGACATCTTTTATGCCCCATGTCGCACCCTCTCAGCTCCTCTTTTTGTTTCACCACCCCAGCCATGCCACATCTCCCTCTCTCTCTGCTCCCAGCTTCTCTGGCCCAGCTCTTTGGGATAGCTGCTGCCAGTGACCAACTCTGCCATTCTGCTGTGCACACAATACTGGGAGTGCAAGGACTCCACATCCGCCAGGGCAGCCTTTGATCCTTGTGAAATAAAAATCTTCTTCCCTCTGCCAGGGAGCCAATTCTGAGGCATGTTCTCCAAAGTTCCTGACAGGACCCCAGCATGACTGAGCCCTATTTCCCCTGTGTTGTCCCCCCCTCATGTCCTGTCTCCCTCTTTCAAGCCTCCCACTCCTCTTCCCTGGGAGCCAATCACAAAATAAACTCTGCAGATAGACCTTTGTCACAGGTTCTGCCCTTTGGGGGACCCAAGCTAAAATGGGTAGGAAAGGCCTAAGTATCGAGCTAAACTGACAAAACATGAAGAGAAAGGTCAATAGGTTTACTTTCTTCAAAATGTAAAACTTCTGTACATCAAAATATTTCACATATATTCTTCCCTTTCCTTCCAAAACAATTTAGGCTAGAAGCCACCAGGTGGGATTAAGCAAGGTTGGCTCTAATACAGTGGTGGCAAGGGTGTCCCTAGGGCAATGGCAGTGATAAGGGGATTGGTTACATACAAGGCATTGATCAAATGACCAAATATATTACAGATGATGAGATGGGAGCCAGCTTTTTCACTGTCACAGAAGACAGTTATAACAATGGCCTGGTGTGGTGGCTCAAGCCTGTAATCTCAGTGCTTTGGGAGGCCAAAGCAGGTGAATCTCCTAAGCTCAGGAGTTCGAGACTAGCCTGGTAAACATGGTAAAAACTCATCTCTACTAAAAATACAAAACTTAGCCAGTTGTGGTGATGGATGCCTGTAGTTCCAGCTACTTGGGAGGCTGAGACAGGAGAATTTCTTGAACCCGGGAGGCAGATGTTGCAGTGAGCCAAGATTGCACCACTGCATTCCAGCCTGGGTGACAGAGTAAGACTCTGTCTCAAAAAAAAAAAAAAAAAAAAAAAAAAAAAAAAAATTCAGTTACAACAATGGAAAGGGAGAAATGCAAAATGTATCCTACGGTGTGTGATCAGTATTGGAGGCATTAACATGAACTTTGACATTCCACAGTGCCTCCTCCCTAACCCTGGCTCCTGTCCCACCTTACACAGATGCCAAACTTGTGTATATATAGATATATGATAACCACTAACAATTATTTTACAAATTTACTCCACTATGGCAACAATTTAAAAGTAAGCAAATATGATTTAATGAATATGTATTAGTCCGTTTTTGTGCTGCTGATAAAGACATACCCAAGACTGGGAAGAAAAGGAGATTTAGTTTGACTTACAGTTCTGCATGGCTGCGGAGGTCTCATAATCATGGCAGAGGGCAAAAGGCACTTCTTACATGGTGACGACAAGAGAGAAATGAAGAAGACGCAAAAGCAGAAACCCCTGATAAACCCATCAGATCTCGTGAGACTTATTTTCTGTCATGAGAATAGCATGGGAAAGACTGGCCTCCATGATTCGATTACCTCCCCCTAGGTCCCTCCCAAAACACATGGGAATTCTGGGAGACACAATTCAAGTTGAGATTTGAATGGGGACACAGACAAACCATATCATTCCAACCCTGGCCCCTCCAAATCTCACGTCCTCACATTTCAAAACCAATCGTGCCTTCCCAACAGTTCCCCCAAACTTTTAGCCCATTTCAGCATCAACCCAAAATTCCACAGTCCAAAGTCTCATCCAAGACAAGGCTAGTCCCTTCTGCCTATGAGCCTGTAAAATCAAAAGCAAGCTAGTTACTTCCTAGATACAATGGGGGTACAGGCATTGGGTAAATACAGCAGTTCCAAATGGGAGAAACTAGCCAAAATAAAGGGGTTACCAGGCCCATGCAAGTCTGAAATCCAGCAGGGCAGTCAAATGTTAAAGCTCCAAAATTATCTCCTTTGACTCCAGGTCTCATATCCAGGTCATGATGATGCAAGAGGCGGGTTCCCATGGTGTTGGGCAGCTCCACCCCTATGGCTTTGCAGGGTATAGCCTCCCTCACAGCTGCTTTCTCAGGAGGGCATTAAGTGTCTACAGCTTTTCCAGGTGCACAGTGCAAGCTGTTTGTGGATCTACCATTCTGGGGTCTGGAGGACTGTGGCCCTCTTCTCACAGCTCTATTAGGCAGCACCCCAGTAGGGACTCTGCGTGAGGGTTCTGACCCCACATTTCCCTTCCGCACTGCCCTAGCAGAGGTTCTCCATGAGGGCTCCACCCCTGCAGCAAACTTCTGCCTGGGCATCCAGGTGTTTCCATACATCTTCTGAAATCTAGGTAGAAGTTCCCAAACCTCAATTTTTTACTTCTGTGCACCCACAGGCTCAATGCCATGTGAAGGCTTCTAAGGTTTGGGGTTTCCACCCTCTGAAGCCACAGCTCAAGCTGTACGTTGGCCTCTTTCAGCCATGGCTGGAACTGATAGGACA